GTTTACCCGCAACAGTGGTATCTGCTGTTATCACAAGGGGCACCCAGAAGCATGCACTACGGTGCACTTTGCCAACTTCGCAGCAACCTCGCTTTGACTGTGCCGCTGCCGTTTACATTGTAGCAGTAACCAACCTGCAGCAGGCTACCCCCGCAGCATCAAAACAAACCATCCATAGATTAATTGCAAAATATGGCCGCCACCTCACTTCCACATGAGAAACTCCTGTACGCGTGGAAACAAGCAAAGCGAGTATCGGGGTGTTACCATGTTGTGGAAATTGTCACAATATTTTTTGGGCAACAAGGGACTTTTTCTGGTTTTCGAGAAACCTGTGCCGCGATAGCGACGAATGACCTTTCGCTACAGCAAATCCTGTTATCGTCGCTCGAAACTTTCGTGCACGTGGTTGGGCCCATTTCGTATTCGCAGGAAGCTGCTGTCGGTTGGCGCGGGCAGTTTCGTGACCTTTGCTCGCTGTTCGCTTATCAGCTGCGATGTCTCTACACTCGCACCATTCGTGAACCCCGCTGTGGCGCACAGATAAAAAAAGACTGCGGACGTGCCGCGCGCATCTAGAAAGAAAAACGATACGGCACGCAGCAACAGGAGAAGGGGAGGGAGCGAGACAAGGTGGCAAGGGGTTGGCCTAATAATAAAAATGGAAGAGATCCAATGGGTGAGGAGGCGCAAAGTGTCGGTTAGTAGGACTACAGCGAATGAATGTAGGGGGTGCGTTTATTATGTGGGAAAAAAAAAATCTGAATTTTGATGACTGAAGTTGGAGGTGTGTTTATTATGCGAATGTGTTTATTAAGCGAGTAAATATGATACTTCTGAAGTACGTCTCTTGTGGCAAGGTCCTCGTTTTTATGGCATATGGAGAATTCGCAACATACATAAAAGTATGCATTAAAGTTGTATTTTAGATAATTTAACTGTGGAATCATTTAAAGGTTGCTGTATGAAGCTGGGAAATGGAAACAATTTTTATTTTGTTCAGCAGTTTCATAATTCAGGCATTAAAGGGTTAATATGTGTAGTACAGAGAAGTATTGTATTTGAACATGCTAATTTAGCTTGTCTTGAAACTTTTATCTGAGCCTCGCTTTTGGCATAAAGGGGCCAGAAAGATCCATGTTTAAGAGTTTTACTGCCACAAGCCTACAGAAGCCAATAGAGTGATAAATGGCCCAAATGCAGTCGTGGCATCAAATATTCATTAAAAAATGATGCATATTTTAGAAGAGTGTTTCAAAGGTGCAATGCAAAATAGTTGAACTGTCTGAGTTTTGATAATATATTGTACCATCACAAATGAAAGGAAAAAGATTGTCAAGGTCACAAATAGCAGGAAAGATGCAATTAAAAAAAGTTTATATTAGAAGCTTGCCAACAAAATGTAATTTGAGTATAAGAACATATAGGTACACTCTAGGTGGTTTCCCAGTTTGTGCCCATCGCTCTGACAAAACACAAATAGGAAAATAAAATTACACTAACAATCGTTTGCTGTGTAGTAAACTGTGCAGAAAAACTAGACACCAAAGTGTCAAATCCATGATTTTCAAATTAGCAACATGAAGCGTGAAATACGGGTCCATCAACATTATCCACAAACAGAAAAATGCACACTTCACTCAACTGACACATCCAAGCTTCTTAAGCTTTTTCGTTACCATGCGAGGATGGTTGTTTTTCATATGTCTCAGGAAGATCGTTTTTGCCAGTTTGAAAAGTATTCCAGCACGCACTGCAGTATACAAAACTTTACAGAATGAGATGCTTTTTCCAAAAAGTATAGGTCGTAGAGCAATAAAAATATTTTAGAATGAATAAAAATGTGAAAAGTGTGAAAATTTTCTTCACTAGCTAGTAAAGAGTGAAATAAAAACCACTATATATGCAAAAATATTGAAAACAAAAAAAAAATTGAGAAAATACAATTTATAGTCAAGTGACCCAGGAACAGTATAATAATAATGTTGTACAAAATGTTTCTTTTCACGTAGACAAAGAAAATCACAACAGAGGTGCCGCTTCACTGCTCATGCAATGCAGTGAAGCATCGCATGGTGTTTTATGAGACACAAGTGTGCTCGTACACTCTTCTCAGTACATTTTCATTGCCTTGCGATAAGAGTCTCTAGGTATTCCAATATAAGTGGAAACCCGTGATGTGAATAACCCCTCTATATATGAGATGTCCAGTGAACTTCGCTATTTAATCTAGCGTCACCTTTTTCTACGAGTCAGCTCTGCATAGGTTGTCATTCCAATATATGCATTCAAGTATATTCCTTTGCCTCTTTGCGCATATATCGCAACGAGGCAAAGGCCGTTAGGAGAAGCTCAGCAGCCAGCGCCACCACACCGTGCCCTAACAAAGTGTGGACCACGCACGTACCCTGAGTAACCATAAGATTATGCACAAAGGTCTGAAGCTATATGCAATTACGGCAGAGGATATAAACAAAACAAACCCATCAATGGCGACGGATGTCTCAGGCTGACACAAAACATTGTACCCATAAAACTTGAAGCTGAGGTGCTGTCATCCATGAAATCTCAGCTCGCTCTCACTCCATTCAGGTGGGATCGCAAGAAGACAGTTTCAAGCAGCGTATGTGTTTTGCAGTGCTGATGCGCACCCATGCACCCTGACCACCACGTAATAGGAACGACTGGTGACACTAGATGTGACTCTGTGTCTGATATAATGATACAAGTAAAACCAAAGTGGCTGGAAACTGGCTATGAGAGCCACCTGAACACTTTATACATGCGGCGCATCTTGGTAAATATTTTTTGTAGAATTAATTTTCCCTGAATTCTGGGAACAGCTCTCTATTGATTAGCTGGCATAAATTTCTGACAATTATTACTGCTCAACTCTGTCAAATTGCGAAGCTAACACATCAATTCGATATTTGGCTTGCAAAGTTTCTTTTCATTACAGAACTTCGGTGTTACTGTAGCATAATCACGAGGGGCGCGTACTTCTGTCAAGTTCGCCAACCTTGTGCATTTCCAACTACACATGCACATTGGTTTGCGCGAAATTCTGTAAATAAAAAATCGCTTGTTGCCCAAGTCGGCAAATTAAAAAAAATCTGAAAGTTGAGTGGCTGAACTAACTACTAGAAAGTGCTGGGTGCACGAGAAAAAAAATTTAACATGCCAAAATTGATGACCGAAAAGCGTCGATCACCGGTGATTGATTTGAATAGGCGTGGAAACAAAAGAGTTAGAAAGCCTTAGCATGTGCACAGCAGAGCCAATAGTGACTGGTTCACTGACTAGCAATACCAATAGTTCACTGACTGTCATAAAGACTGCTCATTATGACTATATAAAGGAAGGGAAGAACTGTGGATTTAAGGGCTTGTTTTTTTTTGTTAGATACAGTATTAACGAGAGCTAATAAACATTAGTTAGCAGTTCTCGTTATTACAAAGAAGAAGGTAACACAGTAACGAAGGTCTACTGTTAGTGCATCATCTTCATCTGCGCTTGTTTGTCCTTTTTCTCTCCTTTCTTGTTTCCGCCCGTTTTTTGCACAGCTACATTATGCATCGTTCTTGTGTTGTGTACCAACCACTATTTCTATGATAATCATTAAAAGCTAACTCGTTGCATCTTGATGACCTGGTCACACCACCAAGATACTGACCTGGACCCTTGCAGCAAGCCAATCCAGCATAGGGCCTTCAATCTTTTTTTTTTGTTTTTGCTTATGAGACACTACGAGCCCAACACCCAAGTCAGTGTTTTGAAGCACAGCAACATACTAACTCCTTGCATCTTGATGACCTGGTTACTGCACCAAGATACTAACCTGGACCCTTGCAGTAAGCCAATCCAACAGAGGACCCTCAACCTTTTTTTGTTTCTGCTTATGAGACGCTATGAAGCCAGCGCCCAATTCAGTGTTTTGAAGCACAGCAACACAAGAGCCCTCTCAGTCTTACTAACATGAACCACTTTCATTGCTAAGGGAACTATTTACCCTTTGCACATTCGAGTAACACTAGATGTAGGGTTATGCGGTACATTTCTTCCCAAATAATAATAAACACAGAGAGTGTTTCTGAGAGAAGAGGAATAAAAAATATTGTAAGCTGAAGCAGTTAAACCATTATTACACTTCCATTAAAACTATGCAGCCTAATTTTTATCTCCAGTGAGCTCCTGGCTGCTGACGTGCATGCAGAGTGTACTTACAGCAAACCTGCCACAGCATGTTTTCTTGAAGCTTCTATAGATACCAACTATATTTCTGAGTTTGTACATGTGCTAAAATGAAAAGTAAAGTAAAATACCATGGTTTCCCACCCTCCCCCATCTACACACACACACAAAATAATTTATCAACACAATATGCAGGTACCTTTGTGGCAGTAAAATGTCAAGTTCGATCCCTTAGCAATACAAAAACTATTGAAAACGTAATATATCATTTATAATAGGTAAACATATTCTTTATGCACGAGTGCATGCTCTCACTCCAGAACGAACCAAAAAGACAAGAGCAATCACTCAAGAATACCCCCCTTTTCATTGTAAAGTTAGCTTTTCTGCGATGCAGTTTGCCAAACTAATGGCGGCTAGTCGCTTCTGCAAGTGTGTTCAGGCGCAGTCAGCTGACATTATGATGCAGAAAATGTAGACTCAGTTTTCTTGACATCAACACACATAATAGACCAGCCCCATGACATGCATCTAGAACCTCTTCTCCACCTGAAGCACAACTGGTGTTGCCATTAGTTGGAGTGAATGTATAAGTGCAAAAAAGCCCACTTACAGATACTCAAAAAAGGTACACATACTGACATGGCACTCTATTAGTGTTACTACAATTGTGAACTATGAAGGGAGTGCTTCAGCATCTGATTGTAATCAAACCAAAGCCCCCATACCATTCTGTTAATCATTTGATGGTTTTGGGACGTTAAACCCCACATATCAATCAATCAATCTATACCATTCTGTGCACTCACCTCTAGTTGCTGCATCTTCTCTTGTACATGTAGTTCTGTACGAATCAAAGTGGGCCTTTTCCTTCGCCTGAAAAAAGCACTCTTATTATTATATGCTTTACTTTATAACTGTGGCCTTCATTTTCTATTTTAATACTTACGAAAATGAATGAGGAATGCAGGTGTAAAAGTCACTACAGGCCTCTACAAGTTCACTTTTGTTGCTTTTCCTCTTAATGCAATCTTCAATTTTATCAAGTGCCTCATAACCTGCAAGGATCTGTTCCTTTGTGAGCATTCCTGTAACACAACACAAACTAATGCATTAGAGGTCATAAAAAACATGTGCATTTGTAGCGAGCCATGATAAGGAACTCACCTAAGGGAAATTTTGTCACATCAAACTTCATACGAACAACAGTTTCTTTCATTGCTTTGAGATCAAATATCAGAGACACGAGTTTCTGAAAAAGTTAAAAACAGTAAGCTGGCTGCTCCACTTTGTGGTTAGAATAACAAGCATACACCAAGAGAGAAAATGAACCAACCAGTAAATTGGGTTTGAGCCTGCTTGATGCTACATTATTGGCAATTTCCTCAGGTAGCTGCTGAATACACTCTTCTTGGGTTTTCTTTAAATGCAAAAAGTTTTTCAGTGAACATATGCAACCTTCAAGCTGTGACATTCATGTACTTACAGGACCAGAGTAGTCCACTTTGAGTATGACGTACTTCCCCTTCCTCTTTTCAAATTTGCTGTCTTTCGCCCATACCTCCCACCGATTGCCGGTCTTCGAGTAGAATCTGCAATTTCAAAAATGTGTGGGCATTATGTTATCACTTCTGTTAAATAATAAAATTTTCACAGATTTTCAACACCCATACATTGGTTAAATATAAAAGCTCACAAACCTTTCTTCAAATACCAACTGCGCTTTCAAGATGTCTTCCTCACAGGGGATCAACTTTATTGATCCCTTTTCTCCAACACGGCCCCAGCGAAACAACACATAGTGGTGGTTATTGCACAGATCCACCACAAGCTGCATCTTGTAAAATTTGTTCTGATTCTTTTTGAGACAAGTCCGGTTGAGCACAGCATTATAGAAGACTCCATGGTTGCTACAGAGGAATGGTACAAGCAACTGTCTTGCGCACTGTGGATCCACAGGGGGCAGCTGTGCATCGGGTGATGTGCTTGTTTCCACTATTTCTTCTTGGAGAGTGAGCTCTAGCTCCTCAAGTTTACTTTTTTTGGCTGTTTGCATATGAAATAGAGAAAAACAGTAACACAAAATGAACAAGCTTCCTTATAGCACATACAAACAACACAGAAACTTGCACTAGCAAACAAATGTACGGCACATCAAGTCTGGACTAAAAAAGTGAGCAAAGCTTTCTTGAGAAAAGTCAAACGCAGCACACCAGAGAAAGAGCAAAGGAGCGAACTACCAAGTAGCCAGCAACTGGGGGGACCCTGTTTTAATTATATAGTTTAAATCAGGTCATTTGTAAAGTAAAAAAAAAACGAAGTTCATGGCTCTTCAAAATTGAAACTTGTAACACCCACAAGCAGGGGTGCAACAGCCAAAATAAAATTAGGAGCAAATTTTGGAGCAGCAAAATGCTACTTTTGGAGCACTAAAATCCATATTTGGAGCAGGCTACAGGAAAAAGTTTCTTTATGAAACACCAAGTTCGGAGCAGTACGGAAAAGAAGGCTTACATTTATAAATGTACTAAACATTCAACCCACCTAAGTCGTGCATAGTGAACAAAAGCACTGCTATTTCTATAAATAGTAGTATTCTGAATTACCCTACTGAGCCAACAATGCAGTCCAATTAGCATTTGCCATGCCTGCGAAATCCTTTGACAACCTGCCAATGAAAATGTAGCTCTGCTAAGTTGGCGACCTTGAAACGCAGGAGATTGGTAAAACCAAGGAGTATGGATAGTGAAAGAAAAACTGGTGCACAAGGTTTTTTTTTTCTTCGAGGGGGGGGGGGGGGGGGCAGCAGAAGTGTAATTCGCTGCTCCGAATGATCGCAAGCAACTCTTTTAAATGCCAGCCATCACACTAGTACTCACAATTATGCAGTGCATACACGCATGAGTAATTTAACAAAATGTAAAATGTGCTGCGTTCAGAGGCTAGCGCCGCCACAGCTCCTTCCAAATCACATGACACTTTTCAGCAGGACACCAGAATAGTGCGGCAAAGGTGGCTTAAGCAGCGTTCTGCTCAGGTTAGAACAAGGCCAGAAAATTTCTGAACTGCTAGCCCCCCCCCTCCCACAACCCCTACTTTTTTTTCCCTGGGCGGTGGGGTTAGATTTAGAGCCCAACTTCTCGGCTTGCTTGCTCGGGGCATTTGACCAGAACGATGCGCCCCCATTGGCTGGCGACGAATGTCTATCGCCGGGATGACGCAACATCAAGCCAGAAAAATGATTTATGTGTCGTTGCTACGGCAACAAACATGGTGGCCGGCAATGACGGCATTCCCAAAACATCGACCTTGTTTGCGAGCGGAAAACGCAGCATATGGTCTTAACATGCCATACCTCATTTGCCGACTGGGAAATCAATATTTCCCGCGAATATTTCCCGCGAATCAGAGGTGGCTGCGGCAAAACTTTTTTTTTTTTTTTTGCTTGACGTTTCGTGGACCCGCTGATAGGTATCTGCTTTGGTCCGTGGACCGATGGGCACAATGGCGGGTCCACGGACCGATGGGTGTGCGGTGTTGTTACTTCATCTCATGCTTTATCTGGTCGATCGCGATTCGCGAGTGTCCTTATCTAACAAGTATACAGCTTACACTGTGTTTTAAGGTTAGGACCTGACACTTGGTTTGATTGGTGACGCAAAGTGCAAGTGGCCATTGTGACCTCCATTCCTCGCTAAAATTAACGCACGTGAGATAATTTTGAGGCTGGTCCGACATTTTGGCACAACGTGGCGCAATTTCAGCAAATTTCGTGGCTTTGGCGCAGCTCGGCGCAACGAAAGGGAATTGTATCAAATTGGCGCAATCGGTGCAGCTATTGCACCCCTGCACAAGCTACTACAACATTGTTGTTGCCGATACATGCCAACACGTGTGAAAAGTCTACAAAGCCAGCCAAAAGATAAAGCCTCCTAAGTGACCCAGACATCCAGGCACCCTGTCCGGAAGATGCAGGCCACATAGGCCATATAAAACTATGACAGGCTACTGATATGCAGAAACACAGAGAATGAATGCACTGATAGTGTGAGTATGGCGAGCCAGAAAATTGCAAGAAGACAATCGGTTTAAAGTGTTGCCTAAACCATAAAATAATGCAAGCAACCACCGGCACCAACTGGTAAGTACAAGTGCTACCGACTACAGGGTCCACTGTTTTCTGCATGGGCTCAATGACCAGTCTCGGCAAACTAAAACTACAGCCATTAGCGAGGCGCCTAGACATTTTAAAGCGATTCCGTTAAAGTGCACACGCGAAGGAAAACTAGTTTTAGAAGGAAAATTGGAAGAATATCATGAGTACTTAAATGTACACTTCTTTCCTTCATTCATAGTGAGCTTCATTCTGGCAGATTTGGTGCCTTCAGGTAGTATACGAGGGACTATTGGTCAGCCGCCAGCTCATAACTAGTTCATGTACTACATGATGCCAAACAGGCTGAAAAAGAGTGTTCCACACTCACTTTCATGGCTGCAGGCAGTGGTGACTGATGGTCCTACATTTATTTCGTGTATATACCCCATAAATGGGGGGATAGCTGCAGTGGCAGCTCAGTTGGTAAGAGCATCGGACGCGCTATTCGAAAGTTGCAGGTTCGATCCCTGCCCACGGCAAGTGATCGTTTGATCCACTTTTCTTTCTTCACATTAACATTATAACTACCTCATATAACATTCCCTACACTTTCCTTGTTGTGACTGTCTGTTAGATCTCATTAATATTGTGTCTTTTTTCCCAATAACTTCAGAAATGCTTCATTCAATTGGGTTTGATGCCAAGTTATTTCACTGATTCAGGCTGATAATAACAATGAGCTCTAGAAGTATTTGTAGGAGAATCGAAATTTTCTCCTTAGGTGGCATGCTGAGCAGGTTGCGCACATACACGTGCACACACACATGCGCACACAGAGTTAAAGAGCATGTCTCCCAAAGCCTGAAAAAATGAAAACTATGTGCCTATGATTAAATCTTAATTAACCTCCCTGCCTTTCCCCTCAGTTTCTCTCTCTTTCTCTTGGTGCCTATAGCCACAACTCTAGTCACTTCAAAAGAAGCTAGCTGAATGTTCTTACATAGGTTTCTTAAACCTCCTCTTTCACCCATAGCAATGTATTTAGTATTAGTCATTTAGTTTACATCATCTTGTCTTTTATGCCAAGCTCTGTCTGATGATCTATCAGATTCAAGTTCTATGCACTCACTGCTGCACTGATGCCTCACCAAACAGCCCTTACAACCAAACTTGCATGCATTTTATTTACATCGAAAAAAGATAACCACTGTTGCATGTATTGAACGGCCTGTAAACCACCTCCAATATTTTTCCAAGCATTTTAAGTAAACGTGTGCATAGTGTGCAGAATGCTATTGCGATCAAGGATTCTGCACGTGGCAGCGCTATGAGCTGCCAGTGCGCCACAAATTCCAAGAAACAATCACTCGTACTTTCCGGGTCTTTCAAGCTTCCGCGTGACACGCCATGCCACACCTCTGACGCGCCGAGCCAAATATGCCAAATATGTGACTGGTCGAGCAAAAGCCTACGACTTCCAATCAGTCTGCAAGCAGCTGTCTGAGCTGCTTGATGTTGTTCGTCGTGTTGTACTCGTGCGTGAAGCATGCGCAGGACACGCTCCATTGCATTGGAATCCTTTGAATGCGGGCACGCAATGCAGGTTCCATACCAGCACGATTACAGCAGCCAAGGTTTGCCAACAAGCACGCAACTGACCGAGTCGACGGCCAGAGTCGCGGGTACCGGAAGCAGACAGTGTTTCAAGCAGCGCGTCAGCGATGACGTATGCCACGCGAGATCGGGAGGGGCGCTTGGCGAGAGGGAAAAGCAGCGTGGGAGAGGATACTAGCGGAGGGAAGCGCAGGAGAGAGCAAAAGGTGTGGTCATCACGGTTTTGATAATCAAACGCGTCTAACTCCGCTATTACTGCACCGTTTCGAAAAATTCTCACGGCTTCGTATTCGTTGTACACTTGTGCACAGTTTTCCCACAACAACTGAATTTCGACATCTGGGTGGGTTACGGGCCCTTTAACTGTGGACTGGAGTGAACTACCAGCAAAGTGCACAACAGCTGCTTTTTTGCTTGTTATAAGTAGGTAATGATCAGTGCCCTAATTAGCTGGCTTACTGTATATTGCAGCAAGATGACAAGTTGGGCCAGCTGGATTATGTCCATGTATAAAATTTGGCTGAAGCGCACTAAAAAGACAGGCTGACCTGTCCTTGGCAAGCACCGTCTTTCTATCCGCGTCTTTTCGGTGCGCTTTAACTAAATTTTCAAACAACTACTGTACATTGTTGCAAAATTAAATACTAGCCACTACTCATTCCTATGAATTTACAGTATATAAACAAATGCCTACCATCACAGGGGTCTAATTTTCACATATTTTGACCATTAAGTTGCTTTTCCCTCTCTGTTTACACATTTTGACTTCACTGTACTATGATAAAAAAAGGTGGGGGGGGGGGGGGCCACACTACTACAAATATATGTGAAAGAGTACTAAATTTTAGTCACTTGAGAAAAAACAAAGATAAATTGCACATATGTGGCATAAGTTTAGTCTGTGAGGATTTTTATAAGTAACCAGAATATGATACAGTGGCAGTATGACACAGTGGCAATATGATACAGTGGCAATATGATACAGTGGCAACATTTAAAACAAACTTTGCAAATAATTTACTGACAAATGCTACATAGAACAATCACAAAAAGGCAGTTCTTCAGCAAATCTTGCTGAAAATGTGACCTAAACGAGACATAAAGTGAAGTCAGTGAACTTTAAATGATAACAGCAGCGATTCACATTTTTTTTTATTTCATTCAGTAAATATGTCAACATGAACCCCTTGACTTTTAATTAAGGAAAATTACGAACAGTAAACTCAAGAATGTTAGCGTCGATCTTACACCTCCAGAATGCTCGATCCCTATTTCCACAAGTAAATCGCAAAAAAAAAGCCAAAATTTGCCAACACAGTGAATTAAATTGTTGGATCTCCATCAGTGCAATGTCACAACATGAAGTTGAAGCTTTGATAGAAGCCGGTGCGGTTGGAGAGTAACAAAAGTAAAAAAGGAACACCGACCATAAGAAAGAAGACGGTGTTTCAGCTTTCCTGATGAGAGCCTTGTAGATAATCTGTGTTTGTGTTCTTTTAATTTTTATGTCAACACTTTCACGAGGAACATAAAAAAATTGGGTGGTGAAGGAGTACGAGAAAGTAAAAAATTATTGGCGGATATGCTTACCAGATCTTTCTCTTAGTTCGAAACTTCCGTCAGGGTGAAAAACGAACTCGTCGTCACTGTCACTACTGCTTATGACCTGTGGGTCATCATTATCACTGTCTGTTAAAACAATGGAGTCCTCCTTCCTGCATAATGAAACAATGAAAGATGAATAGATAAGTGTGTCTTGCAATGAGTAACTCATAGACATTGCCATTTATGTCACTGAAAGTTCAGATGAAAAAAGCAATTTTCAACACCTACCAACAGGAGAAGATGAGGCATAGCATCTGCACTAAAGGTGGTCCAGACAAATGACCATACTCAGCCTATTTATTTCCGCTGCAAGAAAAAGACTCCTTCATATGATCTCCAACTTACCCTGTTCTGCACTAGTTCATTCAGTGTTATACCTACAAATTTCTTAATTTCAACAACCCACCTAACCACCTGCTGTCCCTGCCCGCATTTCTCGTATCTTAGTACATATTTTTTCACTCTAACAACAGGCAAATGAAAGTTCCGCACACTCACCACAATGGCTACAGGTGACACTGACGCTCCCATGTTTAAATGTACATATATGGTGGATAGACGGGGAAGTATTACGGGGGAGAGTAAAGGGCAGCATTATTTCACAATGAAAGATGGGAGCCACACCATATGATGCTACATGTGCAATAGGCTCTTGTGGTAGCATTTGCCTGCATTGCACATAGCCACTAGACGTTAGTTTCACTCATTTTTAAACTGCTTACACACAGTGCCCATGCTATTTAAGGTGCTGTGTGTTTTATTTCGCTAAGAAGAATGTGCTGCAAGTTCCGAGTGGCATCAAGCAATCGAAAAAAAAGAAAGAAATAACGCAAACTGCTTTAAAGTCTGACAGAACTGGGCGTGCCGCACAGACATGTTCAGTGCGTGTCCTCTGCCGTTATTATCATGTTCAGTGCGTGTCCTCTGCCGTTATTATCGCATTTCGTTCTTTTTGCACTCTCTTTATTGCGTTTATTTGCTACAGCTGAGCAAAATCACTGGCTCGCATGCATAACTAAGTTAACTTTAAAGTGTTTTCTCTCTTGGTAAAATGTAAACTCTTTACAATTGTTCACAGCGTTTATACATGGCTGAAGTGTTCTGCTTTTTTTTTCCTATCTACCCCCCCCCCCCCCCCAAGCACACCTTCATTACTTCGTAATTCCAAGAAGTTGGGTTCCATTCAGCATAAAATATTCAAATCATTGGCACTTTTTCACACCTTTTTTTTTTTTTTAGAAACTTGGACAGGCGATAGAGATGTTGCATCGGGAGGCTATTTTGTACATTAGACACTTTCTTATTTTAGTCATCATTCTCTCTATGCTGGGACACATATTTGTTAACTTATGGCCTTAGATGCAAAATAAATACACGCAAGACAAATGGTACAATGTGTTTATTTATGGCACATTTGTGATCACATAGTTCTGACACACATTTCTTATCACATACTTCCCTATTACTTTAAGAAGTCAAGTTACTTGCACCTTCTCAACTTAATATTGTTTCTTCCCTTTTGGCACTCCTATCTTTGTTTAAAAATTTTGCCCAGAATTGCATATGCATGAGCAGAAAAAAACTGGACTATTTTTGTGGTCAATTTCACAGCCAACTCTATCCAGCTCGATTTCTGCCAAGAACTTCATGAAATCATGTATGTTGAAGGAGTGCAATTTTTCAACAGAAAAATAAAGTAAATGCATCCTCCAAAGTTTTCACCAGTCTGACCAGACTTTCACAAGGATACAGTAAGCCTTCCCTGTCAAATGCACTCACTCACTCACTGTTCAGTGTGACAATGGCTCCAGATTTCTTGGTGGCAAGAGCCACCTTTTCTGAACGACATAGCTACTGTGATCACCACAGTGTAGACCTAACGCCGTCTACACCTCCAACGTCCGACATCTTCTATATTATCTCGTATGCCGAAAATGGAATCACTTAAGGTTGGCGACAAAGTGTTAAGGAGAGTTTTTACAAGCTCTGCTAGGGAGTTCCCATCCTTGGGTTGTCTCGCGAGATTATAAAAAGATAAGCAATTTACATTCACTAGGAATTGTGTGGGATTCAGATGGTCATTACTACTACAATATCACCGAATAATCCCGAAGACATTTTCCTGTTTGTCCTGGCTCAGTCGGGCGAATGACATGTACCTGACCGGCATGGTCACCATGTGCCCATGTGCTGGTTTGCTTCGCATATCATTGATTCCCACTGTACGTGGGATCTGCTTTTTTTTGTTATTGTTGGTTGAGGTGCCACGCCATTTGTTAAAGTTCGCTGCTAGTATTGCTGAGAAACACAATGTAATCTGCAAAGTGTTAGTTGTCAAGATATTTTCTGTTAGCCATTATTCTCATTTCTTCCCAATATAGTTGTTTACATAAACATGGAGACATTCAATCTGCTTGCCTGGCCTTTAAGTGATTGAGAAGATTTTTCTTTTCTTTTCAAGAGCGACGTAGCTGTGGAGTTCTTGTATACGTTGTCTGATGTATCCACGTTTCAAGAGCACCATGGTGACACAGTGGGCTCATCAAGTTAGCATGCTCTGAAATCCAAAGGAACATGCTCGAAACACTCAGATGCGACACCTTCGAAGCATAGCTTAACTTAGAATTTCACTGACTGCTTTTCGGGCATATGAAAGTGTTTGAACAAGCAAATGTTACATAGTTACTGCGGTAGAAACGAGTAGGGAAAGAGAACACACTTCATCAAAGGAAAGAGTCAGAAACACGTTATTCTTACAGAAGCCGTAGGAGGCATGAGCTCTCATGCAGGCTTTCGTGCACCGTCTCAGGGAGGGAGCGCATAAAGCACACTCCACAATCACGCACCACATGTCACTTTTGACCGTTAAGTTTACAAGAGTGCACTCTGCTGGCTAGAGTGCACTCGAGCAACCTAACTTAGCACACCTAATGCCTTTACGACTGCTAAAAACTCTACAGAGTCAAGTGCTATTTCATAACCTATGAAAGCTATATAAAGGGTCGGGCTTGTCGTATTAAGCGGCTGTCTCAATTACCTGGTTGATCACATGACATGACTGTCATCTACCACAGAGTACGCTTTTCAGAAGCCAGCTTACTCTGTAGACTGATTAAAATGAAGTGCTTCTCTCAACTTATTCTAAATAAGCACTGGGAATATTTTCTGTAATACTACAAATAGGCTGTTGGGTCCATAGCTCTTCAAAGTCTTTTACATCTTCCTTCCTGCATATTAATATAACATCGGCATTCGCACAATTGAAACCTTGTGGCACAGTGAATACAGCATCTCAAGCTCCTTAAACATAAATTTACTGTAAAATTCACCTTTGACCAAATAGCAATCTTACGTGATGATGTCATCACGTGACAACATAAATTTTGGTGACATCATAAATTTATGTGACATCATGGTGACGTCATTACATTATCACGATTTTTGCATCACTCACGTTGATGCTGTCCACTGTCGATTTTCGTGTTTCATAAGGTACCTAAGGCTTTCGCCTTAATAATTTTAGGAGCTTCAGCTGCGGTGGTACCAGAGTCCTTTAATATTTCTTTCTCGTCGTCAAGCTTCATCAAAACTGTATAGGAGAGCTTTGTGTACTGCGAGCGGAGGCCACGGGGCGCGCCGCATCCCCGCGAGGGGCATCGGGAAGACTGGAGCGAAGCTGGCTGCTGGTGCTGCTATGGGGTCACTGCATAATATTGTGGCATGTCATTGTGCGGCTTTCACTATATGATTACTATTGTGCCTAGTGTGCTGTGCCTGATGACTGGGAAGGATTCCACATACCTGCTGTGGACCTGCTTGTTTATCTGGTTACAAGAAAAATGATGAAAAACCCTCCAAGTTCTTAGGCCAAGTTCTTAGGAAAAGTAGAAGTACAGAATGTTGCAACAAGAAACTAGTGGTTTCACATTTGATTCTCCGAATGTGCACGTGTGCGAAAAGCACTTCGATGAGAGTGACATCATTCGCGTGGACCAGTGGCTAATCGGAGGTGTTGTTGTGAAGTCACTGCGTAATGTTCCGAAACTTTTGTCGACGCTGTGCCAAGTATTTTCTACGGCCTCACGGCGTACTTTATAATGCAAAAATGCAGAGCTCACCCGTCTACCAACCTCGCCGGGAACCATCAGCTCAGCTGGAGACTGTTGAGGCAATGCCTTTGTTGAGGCTGCATCTACACTATGCATGAGCCCTTTTGACATAGTTCCAATAGATAACGACGCATTTAATGAAGGTGAGCATACTGGCCGCCTCTTCCTTGTTGCACTCCAGTAGATAATACAAAAGCTCCATGAGTGAAATGCTCGCCGTTTTCTTTTATACAGGCACTGAGATGACCATATTTGCAGAGGTAATATGCCAAACAGGCGGAGCTGCACGCAGCTCCTCACAGTTTGAAAAATACAAAGGACACATCCGTTGCATAGAAGAGAGGCTTCAGCGTTACCAGTAGAAAGCTTGCTAGGGTGACATCGCAAGAGAGGTCGCACCAAATGCTGTACAAACTTGTGCAAGCGGTCAAAGCGTGAAAAGTTAATTATCGATATCAATGCGTCATGAGCACGAGAAGATAACTTTTTGCATCACATGCTCACGCGAGACCCATTAGGTCAATTTTCTCGCTTGAGGAGGCATGTAAGGCTACGCCTTAACAGTGAACTCAATCAAGAAGGATAGGGAAACACAGCATGAGTAAACTAAATAAACTACACAGCAGAGTAAAGGACTGGGAACTACATTGCATGGCCAACCTAACTTAGAACATGTCACCATAGTGATAAATCAATGCAAAACAACACACGAAAATGAGGAAAAAGTCATGAGGTATTGCTTGATCCTCATCACTTGCTAAATTCAAAGAACTAATTCATTCAAAGCGTTGTTAGTTTAATAAATGCAAGACAATTTTAAAATACATATCTTCGAATAGAACAGCCAACTTATATAGCCTGAAAGGTTGGATATGCGCTGTCAAAAGTTGCAACCACTCCGCTTCCGCGACGCATCAAGAACCACCGGAGTCGTTGAAGAACTCTGGATTGTCCACGAATTTTCACTAGATGCTTCAGGGAAAAAAAAAAGAAGCATGCCT